CTCCATCTTAGTAGTGACTCAGCTCTTTTCTGTCTCTGCTGGTACTGTTCTACAAAATCCTGATCAACCATGTCACCCTTTATTCTAAATATATATTTTTCTACTTTTATATTTGCCTAGAGTTTCTGCTTATTCATTGTTTGCGCTTAGTTACCCAATATGCTCTAAGCCTTTGAGGCTACTCTTCTTCATCTTCCCCCATCATATCAGTCCAGATACTCTGTAATCACTTTGTAGACTTCTCTCATTATTTAAACTTACCCAATCAATTTTTCATTTCTATTTGTGGCTTTAAAAATGCTTCTCAATAGTTTTCTGTTCTCTCAGCTGTCTTCTTCTTTGTTACAAGAGGTCACGATTTCTTATTTGGTAGTAACCGACCCATCTTCCCCTTTTCTAAGCTCCTAAAAAGGGCAGGTGGAGATGGGGGTGTCCTTTCCCTGTAATCTTCAAGATGGCATTTTAATCTTTCTACCTCTCTACTAAGATCTCAGTCTTTTGTCTTAGAAAATCTCTCTTATCTCCCAGGTTAATCAGCCTGTCTTCTTCAAATTTTGTGGTGAGTCATCTTCTGTTCCTCCTTTGGTAAGATAGAAATATGCTTTCTAAACCACCACAGTTCCTACTTGAATTCCTAAGTAAACCTGACTTCTAGAGACAGAGAATGTTACATGCAATTTTTTGGTGCCTTCTTAGCATTGTATTGTAGGTTTGTATTGATCTTGTTCAGTTATTTCTCTACTTCAGACAAAGATCCATATGTATGTCTAAGTACTTGTGGACAGCACCAACTCAGTGTCCTATGGGTCTTTCAGATGACTCTTCCCCCTTATGTCCTTCCATGTTTCTACTTCTGATAATTTCACCACCACCTACCCAGGAGCTAAAGTTCTCAATTGGTATTTATATTCCACTACTGCTCCCTTTCCCTCACTCTAAACACTTAATTAGTTATCTAATCTTGGGCAAAGAAAGGTGTTATGTGGTATGAATCTGGTAAATCAAAACATCTGTAAGGCTGAAGATTAAAAGGATGTGGTGAGCTCATCTCCCTTTGTTTTTTGCTCTGCTGTTTCAACAAGAGATATGTTAGCAAAGGCCCATGATAGAAAAGTTAGCAGACTTCAGCAAAGGAAAGCAGCAGCGATGAAACATGGTTCAAATCTTCATGTGCATTCTGCCAATGGTTTGTTCTGTCAAGACCCCTGTCTTCTTCATCAGGGAGTTGGAGCGTACCAAGTCATGTGAAGGTTACAGAACTAGTTCCTATTGCTACTTCAAGCAAATCTCTATGCTTTCTTTCTTAAAGGTCATGCAGTTAAAGAAAAGTGCTTACTCGTCCTGTCTCAGTTTTCACGTTGGAATAAGCTCAAAATAATTCTCAGGCAACAGCTGCTAATAATTACAGAGAAAGCATTTTATGCCTGCCCAGCCAAAGCACTTTTTGTGTTTGAAATGATGAGAATTGGTGGACTGCTTCTTTCTCCACTTTACCCTGTTTCAACTTTTCTTCCCTTTGATTGTGTTTGTTTCTATGATAGGTGCCACACCTACCTCAGCAGCCCATCACATGGCCCTTTCTTGTTAGCTAAAGGCATCACCAAGTCCAATACAGACTCCGATCTTTGGTCTCTGAGCTTTTGACTAACATGTCATCATCTGTTCAGGAATCTGGAAGATATAAAATAGCCTACTGTCCACTACCAGACCCTCTGTGGTGTCTTGAAAATAAATTGTCTGGGTGTATATTATTAAGTATACTCAATTTGTGTCTGTGGCAGTCTGACTGGTATTCTTGTTAGAAAAAATTTTAAAAATGTTTAGGTGCCTCCTGTGTGTTGGGTGATTGTTAAGCATGTTCATACATGCTAACTTATTTGAGCTTCTTTAGAAGTCAGTAAGGTATAATTTTCAGATTTTACAGATACAGAAAATAGTTGACTCAAGTCACATAACTAGTAAATGGCAGAATGGAAATATGAGCTTGGCCTGGCTTCTGTCAAAACTATGCTTCTTGCAATCTATCTATCTATCTATCTATCTATCTATCTGTCTATCTGTCTGTCTATTTCATGGTAAGTTACACTAGGAAGGAAAATATATATATATATATATATATATATATATAATGGTAAGTTACACTAGGGTAGCTAGATACCATGTCTCACCTCTTTTCC